TCAGGGGTCTGGAAGTCGAGAATCTTAGGAGCTGCGGCTTCGACAACGCCTTCGTGATCGCCCGCCCCTTGTCCGAATCGTCCGGATCCAACACTTTGCAATCGTTGGTTTAGGGTGTGGCAGGGTTTTTTGTGGTTTTCTGGACACAGAGCTTTCGGAGTGGGCCTGCAAGATCGATGCGGAGCCATTCACTGCCTTTGCCCAGAAGACTTCTTGGTGAACTTTCCCCAGCCCGTCAACAACAAGTCTGAGAACAATGCGGATATCATCTTCTACCTTTGCCAAGAGCTCGTGGATGTGTGGGGGCCCCAGAGTTTGAGGGCCATCAGATCGTTTCGGGTAGATTTCCAGTAGCTGGATGCTTGCAAGCTCGTTACCCATCATGTCGAAGCCGGCGTTGGCGCTGCCGCATCTTCGCGCCAAGAGTTCTCAGCACCTCAAACGTCCTCAAGAACTTGGAAGCACAACCCATGCCTGAGCAATCCCCAACCCAAACGCCCGGAAGGAATCCGAATCCCTACCACGTGGCGCGCCTGGGTCTGCAGACTAGGGGGCTATGATGTGGGTGAGTTCAGGTTGGCATCTTGGGAGACCGCCACAGATCCGAAGACCGACCGCTCTCAATTTTTTGTTAGCTGGACTACGTGGACATGGTTTTTTTTGCCGGACAAACGCTATGATTATCATTGTCATGCTTATCACCAGCATCATCCTCCTTATTGTTGTTATAATGATTATCAAACCAAACTACTCTTGTTGTATCCATTATCTACTGAGTGTCACTCCTCTTACTGATATTCGTGCACATGCATTGAGTTAGGCAGGCCTTGGGTGTGCATGTTTCATTTTGAGGATGCAATGTACCGGCTTGCTACATTTTGGCTCAAGACTTGGCTAGAGCCAAACTGGCAAGCTGGAACATTTCTTTTCTCCCAGGGAAGTGATCCCTGTGTCGGAATGGATGATGAGCCTACAGTCATTCACACAAATTTGCCGACCTTGGCTCCCGCGAACTGGTTGGACTTCCGCGCCTACATGTCTGATCTGGCACGTCAGGGCCGTCAGGATGAGTTGTGGTCCATCTGGAGTCGGGTTGCTGAGATTACACACCTACCGGCACCCTCCCCTTCGATTACAGACTTTGACTTCTTGGGTTCCAAGGTTCCGGTGCGCCGGATTGTCTGTACCCAGGCTGGGTGTGATCGATGCGGGCGAGCCAGAGGTGGTTACCAATTCCCCTTCCTTGGCCCCTGGTCCAAGAGTGCAGCCATCGTGGAGGAGCCTGAGTTGGGGCCAGCGGTGGCCTTTGCCGCCTACGATCGTTGCCGAGAAGTTCTTGCAGAGGACAGGCTGTGGGATGCTAGCTCGGGCTTGGAGCTGCAGGATATGCTCACTGCTACATTTGCGCGCGTGCTCTATCAGGCCGAGATCAACGACCTCCACGGCGCAGCCCATCCCTCTGTGGACGATGTGTTTCGGGCTTGGCGAACCTGGCAGCAGGGACAACGGGCCTGGCGCGATCCACTCTTACTCCCAGAGCCCACGCCCAACCAGGCACGGGCCAATGAAGTGCACAGAGCCCATCGGTCTATGCTGCTTTGGCTACGATGGGCGGCAGACCCCGCGGGCCGGTCTATGCCTGCGGTCTGTGTGGACTGCGGGGGCTCAGGGGATTTCGTGCACCAGATCTTGCAGTCAGCAATGTGCCGTGATTGCTTGCAGGCACGGGTGGCCATGGCGTCACGGCCCCTGTCCGACAGTGGCTCTGGGAGTGAGAGCGACTGAGAGGAGACTTGAGTCGAGTGTGGGGATCCGGGGCGGACCTCCAATTTTGCGGCACCCACAAATGCACATGTGTAATGGGCGGGGAGTGACCCCGCAAGCGCCATTTTCTTGTGAGCGGCAGGGAGTTACCCTGTTTGCATCACTGAAATGCTCAGGTCGTCGCTCGGAGTGGTCAGGCTGGGCGAGTTCGGCGAGGACCCTGGGGAAATTTCATGGTCTGAGGGTCCACCTGAGCTTTGGGCTTCAAGCATTGGGCTTAGGGCTGGTCTTGCTTACCATGCCGGGATCTCTCGGGGTCTATGCAGCCGAATCCTTGGCAGCAGACTCTGCGCCTGAAGCAGCATACACGGCCCTTGACGAGTATGCCACCCAGTATGCGTCTCGGTGGCGCACCCAACATGGCTACGCGAATGACACTGACTTCGCATTTGCGTTCGCTAGCTATGAGGAGGCACGCGCTACGGGAGGAACCCTGATTGCAGAAGGGTGGGCAACCATTCGATCTGAGGCATCAGGCTCTCTCTTTGGAGCAGTGGCGTCTGCCTTGGATGCGCCGGTGGGTTCGAGCAACCTGGCAGCGCAGGTGGCACGGAGGCCGACTACCTTCCTCAAGAGAGTGGCGGCCAAGGGGCGATTGTTTCGTAGCCGTGCTCATCGAGATCCCCCCCAGGCCCAAAGTCAGGTCAGTCTGGCGGAGGAGTTCGCTGATGAGCTAGCAGAGGCACTGTATCAATTGGGGGCCATGAAGCCGGCTGGGGAAATCACGGCCCAGTTGGAGCAGGAGTGGCGTGCAGCTCTGAGGCGTCGGGCCACGGGGAAGATCCTCGTCACAGAGCGGCCTACACTGAAGGGGGCACTTCTCACTTTCGGCGAACTCCAGGTCCATATGTTTGAACGAGGTCGCCGCTTTCCGCCAGGAGCAGTCGATGTGGACGCCTTTCTCTTTTGGTGAGACCAAAGCACAGTCGCGGGCCTTGGCCGGCCTGAAGTGGCTAGCCAAAACGGGCACCTTGGGCCTCGAGTTGGGAGGTTACGACTTCCGCCAGAACCCCCAAAAAAAGCCCAAGCAGGCGGCGGTGCTGGTGCCAACAATGGTACCTATCCTGGAGCAAGCAGTGCAGGACATGTATCAGGCCAACAACCCTCTGTGGCGTGCTCTGGTGGGGCTTTGGTGCTGCATGACGGGGTGTTTGCGGTTTGAACACTTGCGGCGGGCATCCCCTATGCGCCTCTCCAGATCGACCTTCCACTTCCACTGCAGTCGAGGGAAGCAGCGCGGCAATCGTGCAGGCTTCGACTTTGCGGTGCCGGCGGTCTTTTGCTCTGGATGGCCTTGGGCCCGTCTCTGGTTGAAGAGTTGGCAAGCCCTGCCCCAAGGTGCACAGACCTACAGCGGGTTGCCATTCGATGCTGCAGGGGCACCCTTTACCACGGCCCAAGCCATCAAGGTGGCGCAGGACATCTTCACGCCACATGTGGGAGCTGACGTTACCAGCTTAACGTCATACTCGTTTCGGCGTGTAGGGCCGACATACGCCAATTTGGCCGGATGGGCAGCTTCGGATCAACTTGCACTAGGAGATTGGCTAGACACAACCAAGCAGAAGGCCCAGGGAATCACTATGCCACTGCGTTACAGTGGAGCCAGGAAAACGACGAGTGTCCGTCGTAAGCACTGGCTGGCAGGCTCCATCGGCGTGCTGACCTCCTTTGCGACATGGGATGAGATTCCAGGTGCCGAGTTGGCCAAGGCGGAGTCGACCGGGGCGGCAGTGATGGAAGTGGCTATTCAGAGGGATCTGCACACAGAATGGCAGAGCCCTATTCGCCTCCGGGAGACTAAGCCCCGCTTCAACGTGCCACGTACATTGCCGTTGCCTGACAGAGTCGAGTACATGATGCCAAGGCAGATCAACGGCAAGAGGGTGTCGGCTTCACTTCGTGATGGAGCACGTCTTTGTGTCGAATATCAGAGGGGGAGGTGCAGCGGTCCTTCCCCTTGCCCGGCAGGCCAGCATCGATGCGCGATCCTGGTTCAGTCAGGTCGCGTTTGTGGTGGTTCCCATCCGGCCAAGGAATGCAGGGAGAAGCGCGCGGTGCTTGCTCCTCCATCGCCTGAGCGTGAGGGGACACGCCCCAAGGTGCCCGCGGTGGTCCTGCGGCCACGAGCAGGGGCACCTAAGGCTTCCAAGGAGGAGGCTGCGGCATTGCCGCCTCATCCTAAGAAGGGGCCGCAGCGGCGCGCGCTGGCGAGTGACGCCAGCGACCTTCCGCCACTGAAGCGGCAGCGGGTGGAATCCCCAGCAGTTCCCGTGAGGCCACCGCCTGAATCCCCGCGGCGGATTCCTGCAGTGCCTGTGGGCCCGCCTCCGAGCAGACTCCTACGGCCGCGCACCCCTCCACCGCCGTCATCTCCCAGTTCGACGAGACCTCGAGAGAAGCGCCCTGGGCAGTCAGGGGCTGACACCTGGCCTCGGAGGAGTGGGGCGAGCAATCTGGAGGTGCACTTCGATCGTCTGGCTACAGTGGGTGGCAATTCGGCGCAGCGGCCTACGAAGATCTGGGAAGGAGCGAATGGTGGTATCCTGTGGCTGGCAGGGCTGCCTACGGAGGACACAGCGTCTTCCTTTCCGCGCTGTGACATTCAGCTCAATTGGATGCAGCAGGCGGTGGCAGCACGTGGTGGCGTGGCGTTGCCGGGTGCCCTGCAACTCCAGATCAGCATCACTGATTCGACGTCTCGGGACGATCAGTGGCGCGAAGCTTGGCCAGTCATTCGCCAAACCCTCTTCACAGGAGGTAGTGTCCTGGGCCACTGCATGGCTGGCCGCCATCGAGCTGCCACTGGGCAGTCCCTCCTCTTGGCCTTGGTGGACAACATCAGCTTCGAGGAAGCCCACGTGTCAGCCGTCTACGTGACGTCGAGATCCACAAGGCAATGGCCGGTGGCGAAGTGGGTCCGCTACACCCGAAAGAACAGCATGTCGGGCAAGGTTTGGCCATCCCCTCGAGCATTCATCTTCACGGACCGGTCCCAGATTCACTTGGAAGTGGAGCAAGGAGTGCCTCTTTGCAAGCATCGCCAAGGATCCATTGCTAGCCAAAGGCTCAAGGATGTGACCGAGGTTGAGTCCGTGGAGGAAGCCCAGGGCTACGATCGTCCCTTCTGCAAAGACTGCCTCCAGCGGGCAGCAGCGAAGTTCCACCCAAAGTGAGTGTGCAGAGGGGCTGTACATCAATCCCCCGGAGTTACCGGGTGGATAACATGCTGCATTTAAGAGAGACGAATTCCACTCTCTGATAAGGCTCCGGTCGTGACCCTCGCAGGTGCTGAAACGGCATCGTTCTTAGGGCTCCAGGACAAGCGCAGAGCTTGTCGTAGGGAGTGGGGCGTACCCGTCCGACATAGGTTGCCATGCAAAAGATTGTCTGGGGCGCACATGCTAAACCCTGGGGCGGTGTAGCATGTGGTGTCGGCTGTGAGCCAGCCGTGTCTGCCATGCAACAGAGTGGCTGTTGTGAGCTAGGGCAGCTAGGCAGTGCATGCGTCCACGACAGTCTTCTTTTAATTTTCTTAAGCCCTCACACCTCCCCCCCCCAGGATTGCACACTGTGTTCGATCTCGCAGGATTTCGCGCAGCTGTCAGCCCAAGGCCCGGCCGATCCTTAGTGCAGGGGTGTGGAGTGACCACGGTTTCGGCCTAGCCATGGCATCTTTTCACTTAGTGCCGAGAGACGGCGCTGATTTTCGTGCTACACTTGTGTCGCTGCAACTCAATTTCGAATTTGCTGATGAAATCCTCGAGGCCCTGGTCAAGGCCAAGCTCAAGAACCTTGAGGAATTCCGGTACTTCTTCGAGTCGGAAGCCGAGATAGGGGTCTGGGTTCAGAGACTCAACTTGGGCGATGTCCAGGGCGTGCAAACCGCACGTTTGAGGCGCACCTGGGCTGCAGTGAAGGTTTTCTTTCAGCATGCTGACGCAGGGAGGACCAAAGTCGGCGAATCAGACTTGGACGATCTCTTGGATGACACAAGCCTGCGTGACATGAAGCAGCAATTCTGGCGCAGGTATCGTACCAGATTCCCCCCCGAGCTCTATCCTTCGGATGCAACACTCTCGCGAGTGACGCGAGAATTAAACAAGCGCCTCCTGTGCGTTTTCTCCGTATGGAAGGTCAAGAGCTTGCAGTTCCAGCTGGTTACTACCAGCAAGAAGAGACGCTTGGGGGACGGCCTGTTCACGGAGGAGACGGAGCAGGAGGAGTCAGTCCCGCACGATTGGGAAAACTACCTCGACCGCCTCCACATCCTCTTGACAGCCTACGCGTTGGCAGGGGTGGATCAGGTGGCGGGAGCGCCCCAGGCCAATCAGGAGCACACGCTTGGAGCGGACTCCACGATCTTTGTCCAGGCGCCACTGGACGTCCTTATGGAGTACTACTACCGCGCCAAGAGGTCGGTGGTTTCGCTACCAGCACACAAGCGGCTGGACTGGCTGCAGCAGAGAGACTCCGAGGAGAGGGCAGTCTGGGTGGCCAAGTTCCGCGAGTCCACCAAGACACTCGGCCAAGTCGTGCGTGAGGTGTTCAATCTCAGAGACGCGCACTGGATCGCCATCCAAAGCGGAGGCCCAGGAGAATCTAGCCACAATCCCACACCGAAGATGCTGGCCGCGGCAACTACCCAGCTACCGAGCCCGCCTAAACTTTCCTCGTTCCAGCTCGGCACCCCGGTAGCGGGCAAGAAGGTGGCCAGAGTCATGAAGGATGGCAAGCGTCTGTGCGTCGAGTTCCAGCAAGGACGTTGCAACAAAGGAGCCAAGTGTCCTGATCGGCACATGTGCGCTGCGGGATTGTCCTTCGAGGCGAGCGAGTCTGTGGTTCAACGAAGCATGGGGCTAAGGACTGCAAGCAGAAAGTGAAGGCCTGATGGGGCCCCGAGGGGGGGGAGGCGACCCTTCCAGCACGGATTCCGAGGATCCGGAATCGCCGTTGATGGCAGACATCTTTTCTGGTCCCAATGCCCGCTCACGAAAGCTTTCCTGTTCTGTGGATGGCGCTGCCTGACGTTGGATATTCAACTGGACTCCTCGCATGATTTGGCACACCCCCTTCGGCAGCAGAGCCTCAGGGAGCAGCTCAAGGAGGCCGATTTTGTGTCCGCGGCGTTCGACTGTTCCACCAAAAGCAGAGCGAGGGAGGTGCCGAGGGTGTTCGATGATGGGCGCCGGGGCCCAGGTCCCCTCCGCTCTACTCGACAACCCGAGGGACTGGACGGCCTGTCGCCGGCGGATCAGCACCGCGTCAAGCGTGACAACAATGCCTGTGGCTTTATGCTGCAAGTCATGCAAGAGGTGGCGGAGAGAGGAGCTGGGGCAATGCGAGAGAATCCGGTGAACAGCTTGCATTGGCTACTTCAGCAAGAGGTGGCAGCTTTCCGCGCAGGGCTCTGGGCGGATACTCATTATGATGCCTGTTGTTGGGGAGGAGCCCGATGCAAGAGGCAGCGCCTTCGTCACAACATCCCAGAGATATCCTCATGGCCCCCCCTCCAATGCCACCATGTGCATGCCAGTGACGAGTGGCAACCATATCTGCTGAATGGACGATACGTGTACCCCACCAAGGAGGAGGCGGAGTACACAGCGCCATTTGTCTTTGCAGTTGCCGTTTCCGTGTCATGGTGGGCCGTCCGGGTGGGCCGAGCGAAGCTGGCTGTGCCGCGCATGCCGACGCCCTGTTGCGTGGGGCGGCGTGAGGAGTGGCCACTGATGGATCCGAGATCTTTGCGGTCATGGGCGCTGGCACCGCTTGCCATCTCTTTGGGTTTGGGGCCAGCTAGTGCCGAAGAAGCAGCTCGGATCCCACCGAGGAAAGTCGTGGCAGCAGTCATTGGTGCCGATGGGACCCTCCCACGTAACTGCATTTACGTGGGGCCGGGCCATCACCGACATCGGCTGGCGCGCAGTAAATGGGCACCTCCCTTCACGGCGGGTCACGATTGCGCATTCGACGAGTTCCTGCCGCGCTACGTTCAACACATCAGGGACAACTTGAGCGACCACCTCACCGAGTTGATAGGGAAAGTCCTGGTGGTCGATGCCGTGGCAGAACACCCCTCGGAAGGGGATGCTTTGGCGGGCCTTGTCTTTGAGCACTTGTCGACTGTGAGATCCACGTCACAGCCGCAGCAGAGCACCAACCCCCGGGGCCGAGCAAGGAAGCGGAGCCATCGCTTCCCTAGAGCGCTGGGGCTGGCCATAGCTCCGCTGGCGGATGCATCTTCCATCTTTTCCGACTTTATGCGCCAGGAAGACGTGGTCCTCGCAGTCCGCAAGCTCTTTCCGGAAGCATGGATGACCGGGTTCACCTTTCCCTGCATCGAGGACCTTATTAATGCCCCCCCGTTCGATCTTTACAGGCGCTGGCTCCGAGTGTCGGAGCTTGACTGGGCTGGTGCTTGCGGCCCGGCCACTGGTCCCTCCACCGTGCGCATCCTACAGAGAGCGGCGGGGCAGCAGGCAGGAGCACTCAGTCAACGGGCAGCCTTGCCGCCGGTGATCTCGTTTGGCCTGCCGCTGGCGCGCATCCGTACACCCATGCCTACGGAACAGGCTCCCGTGCTGGACAATGACCTCCAGTTTGCCGCTGACTTCACGGCTTCGCAGCGAACGAGATTGCGGCAGTGGCGACAAGATGCAATGGGAGCCCTCAGGGAGCTGAAACGACGGTGCGCAGCTTTGGATGCTCACCTTCGAGGGTTTCAGCAACCAGCACTTCGCCGTGTGACGGCGGCGCGAGACGTGGGTCTGGTAGCTATCCTGGTGGTGCTCTTCGCATGGCCAGATACCGCTCTCCCCTTCTCCCTCATAGCAGGTATGCCGGCAGTGGGTTTCGCGCCATGCTATGGCATCTTCCCGCAAATGCCAGCAGACCATATCTCCTACGAGGACGTGCTGGGCGACTGGCGGGCGCACAATGCAAAAATTCTGCAGTCAATTGGACCTTCCAGGGACGACGATTTCCTCTTGTCCCAGTCAACCAAAGATTTTGAGTCTGGCTTTTGCTCCCCTCCACTGACAAAGCAGGCCCTTTTGGCACAGCTCAAAGGGAAGCCCTTTCGACTCGTACCAAGATGCGTCATCACGCAGTCTTCCGGGAAGAAGCGTATCATTGACAATGCAGACACGGGAGGCCAGTCGGCCTCGTCTCGGGAATCCAACAAGCTTGTGCTCTGCAGCGCGCTGCGACCAGCGCAGCATGCCCAGGCCGTCATTGCCAGGCTGCCCCAGGGTGAGCTGGAGCGGGCTAGGGAGAGTGACTCCCTTGAGTCCGGAGGCGAAGACTGGCCGGATGCTTACAGACATTGCCCTATGTCAGAAGAGGAGGCGTTGTGCTGCCTGGTGGTGTGGTGGCACCGAGAATGGCAGGCCCCGGCATTCCAGATCTACTCCGGCCTCCTTTTCGGCCTGCCTCTTGCAGTCACGTCATTCAATCGGTACAGCAGATTCAATGAAGCTGCGTCACGTAGAGTGGCGCTCACAGTGACCTCTTCCTACTTTGATGACTTCAATATGGTGGATTGGTCCTCCTCCAAAGGAAGCGGACAATGGGCAGTCGGAGAGCTCAACAAGTGTCTGGGAACGCCGTTTGCCGAAGAGAAGAGGCAACCCTTTCCGAAGCCTTGCAGAGGGGGTTCGTCACCTTTTGGGCGAGAGAACGCCTGTTCACCAAAATGTCCGACCTCATCGAGCAATCCGAGACTGCGTCTTCGCTCAAGGCCGGGCTTGCTGCGAAGATGTTTGGCCTGATGAACTTCTTGGAGCAGGGCATGTATGGACGAGTCGGATGCGGTGGCCTCGCTGCTCTGTGTGACAGGCAGCGCAGCAAAGAATCCGACCTCTCGCCGGACATCCTCCAGACGTTTCAGCTTATTCGCGCACTCCTAAAATTTCGTCCTGAGAGGCGCTTTTGGGTGTCCAACCCACCAGTGCAACGCTTCATAGCTGCGAGTGACGCAGCAGAGGAGAAGCCTCGAGCCGGAACCGGAGGTTTCCTCTTGATTTGGCAGCAAGGTGCGAGCCAGGTCCGAGAGGGTTTTGTCGCGGCATGTCCGGAGGAGCTTTATGCCCTTTGGGGACCGGGCGACAAGAAAATTGCACAGCTGGAGCTCAGCGTGGTGCTTTTCGCTCTGGTGGCTCGGCCTGCAAGATTT